GTAAAACATGAACTCACTTGGTGTAGTGGCTGTACATTATTTAATATGAATATGTGAATAATATTAAGAATAATTTTTATATTATTATTACAGGCATTTTAATATTTTTCTGCATCGATTTTGTGTTTTAGATTTTCTTGATGGTGTTCCATCTGGCGGCATATATGTCCCTTATAGAACTGCTGTTATGTTTAATCCTACGTACTACTACTCTGAGTCAATCCGAGCGACTATTGTCCTTTTAATTATACTTTTATTCCCTGATAGAACAATATGAACCACATTTGAAGTTTATGATCTAACTTTAGGCTCCATTTAGGAGAATTTCAGTGGACATAAAACTGTCATTTTAGAAGAATATTTGATAAATTATGGCCACATATTTTTTCCTTAACTCAGTTGTCTATAACGCATGCTGATTACTGAACTGTGCATATGTTTAATACGTAGTGCACAACAACATTTTTTGCATTTATTTTCATGGATGAATTTACTTACAGTGTTTTACTGCATGCACAAATCTTGTGTAATTGATTACACAAAGATGCATGTGGTGGTAGAAGTGTAGCAGCTGAGATAAACATATATATATGTACGATTCCTAGTGTATTCACTTTCAAGTGATGAGCTGTCGCTATTACACTGTTTCTAGTGTATACTTCTTACGCCATTAAATGAATCAAGTGGAGTGACAGTGAAAGTTAAGTAGCACTTGACATATGTTTCCTGCTGATTTTATCAGCAGACTCAACGAATACATGAACTCACGTTGGTTTTTACCTAAACAGCAGTTGGAACATAATTACTATATATTTATTTGGCTTATATAATGTGAAATATTTACATGTATTATATGCTATTTTAGGGTATATTTTAAGATTTGTGTTCAGTCATATTTGCAGTTTTATTTGATGGTGCATATGGCTGTGAATAATCAATCATTGTATCTTTCTAAAATTCATTTTTGGGGAATTTCGGATTTATATGTGAATATTCGTATGAATGGTGAAAATACAGAGTCTTTGCTCATATTTAAATAGGAAGTCAGTTTTTTTAACCTTTTGCTTTGTCTTTGTGTATCTTTTTGAGACACTATTCAGCTTACTTTATTGAATGACTGATATTACTTTTGAGGCATGAGGCGTTGTGAAAAAAAACGGTATGACTGAACTTGACAGATAAAGGGCGTTAACTCTGACTGTGTGAGGAGAATGTGGAATGAGAAAGTCTGTTCGAAAGTTTAAAATTTTCGCTGGTCAAATCTGTTTTAATTAGGATGAACGTTTTGAATGAGAATTCACGTAGCTTTGTAAATGCAATAATTGTATCTTTGAAACTTAGATTTCATGAAATTTGATGACTTCTGATTAGTCCCTGAGTAATACTACGCCTATGAATGCTCAAAATATTGAAACAGTGGTTTTACGTAAATATCAAAAATGGTTCATTGTGATTTTCATTTTTGAGGTTATGAAGAATGAATAGAGGAAGTTCATCAGAAAGCCACAGAAATCTTCATGCTAGAAAGTTAACAGCTTAATACCTGTACTACCGTTACATGCAATGTTTAACCAGAATATTTTGTACGACTTCAAATTGATTTCCAGTTTCCAAGTGACCTGAAACATACTAATGCAAATAAAACATCCAGCAGAGTGACTGAACCTGAAGTGAGCATATAATGACTATCAATGCGGAATGAGAGAAGACAATAAGTTGACGGAGACATTCTGTTCTGAGAGTTATTATTTTTTGTCGAATATTCCCAGATTTGTACAAAATAATGAATATAGTTATGTGCTAGCCTTCTAAGAATTACTATTCACTGCTAAATATTTAAGTGACTCATTATTCAATCAGTTTGATAGAAGACAAGTTGTGTGAGAGGGAGGAAGGCATTATGTGTTATGGTTTGGCTATTGCACTGCTTACAGTGCATGCTCACATTGGTCAAATGCATGAAACAAACTTGTATTTTAATTCGGAGGCACTAGACAAAGATGTTCTAGTACTCTGAGTAAAAACATCAAGATGAAATGAATTTCGGTTATGGTTGAAAATATATATATATATATATTGGTTTCTAGTGGATGATACAAAATATTTGAATATGATTATGTCTGTTATCAGTAAGCAGGTTATTTGTTATTCAGGATGCATACAGAAATCAATAAATAATAATAGTATGTCTCGAAATTGAATTTTTGGAGCTTTGCGTGTCTTAAATTGGTGATTTCTGAAATATCACTGCTCAATTGTATACGTAGGAATGCTCAAAATACAGAGAAAGTTATATACAAAATTAGATATGGCTTCATGCTGTATTTCAGTTAGCTGTATACACTGAGAAAGCAAATGTGATCTCAGTGGTATTACTGGTTTAAGCGTAGATGGTATAAATTTATGAAAATATCCCGCTGATCTGTTTTAAAGTTGATGAGAAGGAATGTCAACTCACAATGAATCCAGTCTATGGGGATTTTTGAACGCATATGGCGTTAAATTTATCATTTCGTGATAATTTTTGTTTTAGGCCTATGATAATTTCAGTAAATTCCAAGGGCTGTTTTCTTGGGAAGTCGTACAGTTTTATGACGTCTTGTTTTGTGTGGTTACCGTCGATATCTGATGTCTAACTCTTCACACTTTGTTTCATCTTCATCTTTAGATTATTTTGTAACCTACAACACTATTTTGCTGATCTATTCAGACCAATTTAATTTGGCTTGCTAAAAAATGAAGTAGTTGACGCACTTTTCTCATTTTACTGTGCTCAGAATCGATAATAATTAATCATTTCCACATTTTACCAAATTTGACTGCTTCTTAAACGAACTTACGTTCTGTATAAAATGAACGAGCAAGCCTATAAAAGTTAACGTAAAATATCTCTGTTTATTAAGAGCTCTTTTGAAAGAAGAATTTAATACTAATTTAATTCCACTTCGTGTTCAACATTTAAATGATAGTGAAATTATAACAGTGAAAATTATTTGGCTGGCTTGCCTGATTGCAAGTTAGGGGGAAAATGGAAATTAGTTAAATCTATGACAATCATTATTATCCAGGTTCGGATCATTTGGAACCATGAAGCATTCGTTAATCAGACAATCCTTCCTTGCAGGTCCTACTCTCATCTGTCTCATTCTTATTCTACATAAATGCATGTACATGCCAAGGATGGTACCATTAAACTAGTACACCTACAGTTTTCGAAATTCACTAGTAAACACTTGAATTAGATGAAAGGGTTAATCTATGGTGGGGACTGGCTGATAGCCGAGTCGGTGGACAGTAATTTACGTCAATGTTCACGTCCCTAATATTGATCATCTGAAAACAAGAACAAAGACAGACTTAACAACCAATCACAGCAGACTTTGCGTAGGCGCATACAATTAACAGATAAAGGATCCGACCTTCAAGAAACAGCCACAAAGAGATGAAAGATTAACTTTCAGTGAGAAAAAACCAATCAAAAGACTGTGTTGTCTGCTAACAATAATCTTTAATAATGTAAATGAAAATCTATAAGTATCTGCTGATTTCCTTAATAAACGATCTGTTGCCTGGTTTTGTCTTCTGTCGTTACAAATCAAGCCTCATTCATTCCCAGCGTATCTGTGTGCATCAAACAGTCAGGAATATTATCCAAAACTACCAAAAACAAAATGTCTGAAGTTTAACTGTGGTGAATATTGTGAGGAAAACAAAGAAATCACACAGTTTACGAAAATATCATCTGAATGAACCGCATACTATTTCACAATGTGGTATGCCTTGAAACTATTGTATTAGTTTCATAAGTGTGGAAACATGGAATCCCCACAAGAGGTTTGAATTCGAGGAGCCCGATCAGATTCTCACGGAGAATATACTATAAGGTACAGAAGCGCATGGAATCTATAAGGACAGATGGAATAGATATAGTCTCAGCAAGTTGTTAATTGAAGACGACAACTGGGACAACACTGAATGAGTGGCCATCATGATATCACCAAACTGCGCCCTCAGTCTCTATTTAATGAAAACCAGTCTCCGCTAGGATATTGACAGCAAAAATCAATTCAAAAGTTAAGAAAGTTATAATTATACATTGCTACACCCGGAAAAAAAAGAAATCCAATGCAGAAGAAGGAAAACTTCCGAGAGCACTGAAGGACAAGACTGGAACTAGATGTTGCTGTTCAAATCCTGATGGACAATATGAATGACAAATGAACCAGGATTAAACAGCATGAAGGGTATAGTCATTATTTGTTTTGGAGCTGTTGGATGAATGAATGAGGACGGGGAACTCTTCATACACTTTTGTGCTTTCAGTGATTTGGTGGCTGGTTCCAGTGTATGATAGCAGACGGCAAACACAAGGCTGAATGAGTGTCACTAGATACGCATACATAAATTGAGTCAGACTTCATCTCAGTCTCTTTAAAGTGTAGAAACAGCCTGTTCAGGTGAAAATAGAAGAGAGGAGAAGATGAGGGGTCAGACAATTATACCATGGAATTAACATTCAAAGCAGCTGAAAGTAGACCGGAATTCGATTTTATTTTTCAGAAGTTGATGGAGGAGGGTACGTAAGACACGTTCACTGCAGCCAATCTCGAAGTCATAATCATTGAGTTTCAAAACGTCTTGAGTAAAGTCGACCATCTAAGCGGCCTTAATACTATTGAGATACTGGAACCGTTACTAACCTTATTCATTAGCTATTTGATGATGCCACATGTCAATTAGTTCACTAGGGAAAGATAGAGACGGTTTTGAAGTGATGTTAGGGTAAGACAAGCCCACAATCAGCGGTAATATTTCCGGCTTCACTTAAGCATGCAACAGAAAGTGGGATACGGAAAGTTGGGCTTATGTTAGGTCGATAAAATGCTTCAAAATATTTGGACTAAGGAACTGATATATACTATGGCAATAAAGTAACAGGTATTATACATGGTATGAAATAATAAAATCTTCGTGATGATAATAAATGATAATAAACCTACGGTGACCCACATTTCGCTTCACATTCGTTTTCACTCAGAAAATCGTTTCCATTTTTTTTGTCACATCCCCAAAACCCAAACTGTCTGCATATACCGTCATTGATATCATAGTACCAGCGGATGTAACTACGTGGGCAAACGCCTCTGACTGGATCCATTCCGCAGCTGCCTAAAAATATTCAAAGATAATTTAGGCATTGAAAATTATATCGATCTGATACATTAACAAGCAATGAACCAGTAGAAATCCTTCGCAATAAAGGTAAATTTTGGCGAAGCCAATTCCGTTTCATATAATCAGTACAGAACCAGAACTGGCTAGTTCAGAAAACAAGTGAATTATCTTAAAACACTTATCACAATCATTTCTATTTATTTAAATCATTTGAGTAATCAGTTGAATTTGCATGAGATTGAGATTTTCAGCCTCTACCTGTTAAAATACATATGTTAGTAACGGAGTTTTTAATATAAACATTCTTATGAAATTAATAACTGACCCAAATTCATTACTTCAAATATCAATACGTTGTTTGAATAAAGATAGCAGAAGCTTCTTTACTATTTGACAACAATAAGCACACGCCACTTATGAAATGACTGAAATCTTCTCGTATACTATCACGTCAACCAGAGTATTTGAAAGCACTGAGTGTGGTAAAGCGTAGCTGGACACCCAAGGTTTTTATACTTTGTTTAAAATACGTCATGCAGACAGTGAGACTCAGTTTCAGAAACTTTATACTAAGAGGGGGGACCAGTTCAAATATCTGGAAGAGACGTGACACCATGGAAAAAAGCGATGATTGGCGTAACGAGAAGGAACTAGGCAACTTCTTGTAACTTTTTCGACGAAAGAAGGGGATGAGACCTCCGTAAAACGTGCGACGTTGTGTCAATGAAGAAGAAGCCACTCTTTATGTCAATACAGCTTATCACTGGGATGATTATTATATATCTTATCTAATGGATTCAAATTGCAGTCCATAGTCCTCATATGACCAACAGTGACACTTTATCTGAAACATCAACTGCCAAAGTTTATAATGGCAACAACTTACGTCTATCGAATGTGCCACTGAAACAACAAGGTAAAATAAATATGAATGAGCCTGATATGATGCTGATTTATTGGAAACTATTATAGGTTATCAGTAAATGAAGATTATATAATTTGCTAATAGTTTAAAATCAATAAAATTCTGGAATTACATATTATTTACTATTTGCATGAATAATGAATGTTTGAGGTAGCAGAAATAACAATTACCGGTACCCACTTGTTCTCGAATGGCGGTTAAGACATAATTAATTGTCTCTTTACCGTAGTCCTGAACAAATTCTCCAGTTTCCATTCGCTAGTTCTAAGTAAATCTACAGATTACCATTGCTTACAATAGGCCTGTATATTTGAAGAGTACGAAGCTTGTAATACCATTCAGTCAGTATCAGTTTCTAAGGCATACGTTATCATTTTGTCAAAAATAAACTAGTGGGAACACGATGAAATTTAATTAGGCTATCTGTTGCCAGAAACATATTTAGAAAAAATATATTGAAAATGGATTGTGTGAAACAAACATGATTGGAACTAACATCCAAATATTTTGATAATAAGTTAATGTAACATGCCATTACCTTAATTGACACGCAATTTTACATATTTTTTCTGTATCGAAATTATTTTTGTTTCCCCCACTTCCACTGTACGTGAAATTAACACATTTTCCAATAGTAGCATTATAGTAATATTTTTCTAATGTCTCGTAACCATCACCTTCATCCCCACGAAAAAAACAAAAATCTAAAATGAAACAAAACAGAAGGAAATGAACTGCATTCAGTCTTCAAAGGATTTCGAATCTTATGTGTTAACTGCCTAATAATACAAACATTTGACTTTTTATTTTACATTGTATAATAAACTGCAGCAAAAAAATTACTGGACGCTTACCTTTGTAGATTGATGAACACTTTAGCGGAAACAGAATGAGCAGGAGTATTGCTAACATATTTTAAGATATTCTGAATGATTTATTCCATCACTATATATAAATACATATATGCCTGCCACGAAAACAGACAGCACTTAACATAGCTGTCGTAATTTAAAGATTGACGGTGGGATACTTAAATTCATAATAAATTTCAGACAGAATTGTCACGAGAATTTATTTGCGTAATATAAACCAATCATGAAACATGTGCATGTAGTGTTGAAAGTGTGGTTGATTGATGGTCGAAATCCATCAGAAGTTTTGATTGGTAATAATTGGGACTGACTGTAGACGACATGTTACTAAGTCATTGAAAAGACATAGGATTATGGGTGAATAGATTATCCAGACACATGTTTCCCATGTGTTTCAATAACCTAGAAACATGTAATTTACTTTTAATCGTATTCAGTTTTGAAATTTTTCACCTTTCACGTATTTTTGAAAGTGAGATATAGTATAGAGTGAATTCTGTGTTAAAAAGACTATCAACAGCTTCTTTTTATAGTAAACGTATGTTAATGGTACTTTCGCAGTTCGTGACAATAAAGATGGCCAAAATAATGTCCCGCAAATCTACTATAGTTGCCACTCAACTATCAAATTTTCTATTGCAGTAGACACTGGACAGACAGTTTCCGTTCCGAATGGTAGTGTCTGAATGAACGGGATGTAGTATGGAAAAAGACAACCAGCTGAAAAATTTCTCCATCAAAATACACAAAACCGTTTGCCAAAAGTCGATTGTATCTCTTGCAGCTCTTATCTCCAGGACTTGAAGTCTGGGGTCAGCAGATGACGAAGACTTTAATTTTAAAATGGCTATCCCTTACGCCTTGCAAATAAACCCATAAGACCTAACTCAAATGAGGAAACGTTCATATCTCTACCGAGAAAAGCGTTATTTATGACCCTCAAAATAGGAGACATCTGCAGTAGACTATTGGAAATGCTTTTCATAGAACGCCGTCAATTCTCTGAACCACACAGAAGTCCTGGCTGTTTTCGCAATACTGTTTTAAATCAGAATCTTGCTCTTTATGCAGATCCTCATTCTGTCTTCAGATTAAACAGGGTTTGTCTTATCTTTCTGATTCTGGCTTTGCTATATCAATCTGTGCCTTCTAGTCAAGTGGAAGGAGTAACCTCCCTTGAATTCCTCCAGTTGATATTGACTGGCTATATTCATTGTTGTTGTTCAGGTATCTACATAACCTATAACTTCTTTATGTTCACATGTAGTTGCTTTGGTATTTGCTGCTCTCCTGTCAGTTCCCGCTTGCAACTTTTGAGTTTGCATGATTTAGGGAAAAATTGTCTGTGAAACGCACACCTCCTGGAGAATTTGTATCTGTACAAAGTATTCCAGTTTCCTTGACTTGTAAGTCTTGAAACATGATTCAGTTCTCCACGATTAGGAATATAACAGATCATGGTAGGCAGCCTTATCTTACTCCGATTTATATTTTGGAGGAAACTGTGTGTTTTCCAGTGTGGAATACTTGAAAGTTGTCTCTGTTTTTATTGATGGGCTGTGTTCTGATCCGAATAAGGTTTTATTTTTTGTGAATCAAAGCGTGTTACGGTCAAAGGTTAAATAAAAAGCATCTTTTAGTCTTCTCGGGTTGACGTGACCTAATATTTATTTTTCATTAGGTGAAGGGGAGCATTATTCCACCTCAGTGTTTATAACGGTTCAAGTCACCATTTTTTGTGTTATGACAGGGTAGCCATTCTTCAATTCATTAGGCAACTATCCTTTCTATGCTTTGTATAGTGGTGGCATCTTTGTTAGCGTTATGAGTACTCTCAGAAGGTTGACGCCTAGTCCTTCTGCTTCCCTAGCCGGGTTTTCACATCAATGAGGACTCTTGCTTTTGTCAGAGGATTGATATTCCCTGGGATTTCTGCGTCTGACGCAGACGTATCGCAAGTACTGGCCATTTCAGTAATCCTTCAAAGCGATCAAAACATTACTTCACTTTTGCTTTTCTGCAATTTGGCTCATGCAGTTGTCAAAATTCAAATGTCATCTGAATCTGTCTACCTATTGATGAGTGTTAGTGCTGCACAGTGAAGCTGAAATGAGGAAGAGTTATATGCACAGTTATAGGGACGTCATGATCACTGCTGAATACGCTCGTTTGTCACACAATTCATTTTGACCGCTGTCTACCTCTGAAAGGGAATTATCAATATCTAATACATATCACCATTATATGATCAACTCTAAAGAGCTAGATTTCTACGAATGAAACTGAGGTTCATCTGCACAAATCGACTATGGTTTATCAACTCTAATATTCAGTGTGAGTGTGGTGTATTCTACTAACAAGATTCTGTAAGTCGAATGCCATGTCTAATGTCTTTAGGAAGAATGTTGAATGGAGGAGCGATGGATTAAGTTGCATGGAGGCGAAAATAGATATCTGTGTTCAAAAGTACAGAAAGCACGAAAGGAAGACAAAATAATCAAGAAACGAAAAACGTATGCAAGTTGAGATATCAAATGTGAGATTCAATTACTTGACCATAAATGCATGTCTTTTTGCCAAATAAACAATCTGCTACCAAATACCACCGTGTTTTGCCATTTCCATAAAAAATTACAAAATCTGTAGTGTAGAACAGCTATGAATTGTTCGGAAATTTCATGACGAACCTCACGTTTCGAATGACATTTGGTGGTGAAAACGATATTTTACAACCTGAAATGTGAAAGGCTCACATAAACTGTTTTCTCAAATGAGAAACAATGTTGTATCCCTATATTAGTATAGATTGATGGTTGCATGCTAAACACTGCTAAATAAATCGTTTGATACACTTTCAGGTGAGGATATTTGATTCACCACTCATTGAAATATTTTCAGCATTTGGTCGGCCAAAGCAGCCAATCGTCGATTTTGACTGCATGTAATGTCATAAGTATACCTGACAGTTGTTGAAATACCCTAGAGAAGAACTGATCTATCAAAAGTTATTTATCGAATTTTCTAGGCTTGGAGATTTCGCTCATTCGAGTGAGCATATCTATTATGGAAATGTTACATTATTTAACATCACAGAAACATATATTAAGTCGTCAGAGGTTCGACAAATCATTTATTTTCCTTCACATTTGTCACTCAACTGGAGATTATGTGTGATAGTACTCATCTGAATAATGAAGCGAAAACTTGACGATATAGAGCAGAAAGATTAGCTGGCGAGAGATAAAGTGAGGTCGACAAGGGAGACAAATAACCGGCTGGAAAGATTGAGCAACAAGGTGTTCTTTCAGCAAACCAGCCATGAATCTAACTTCTAACAAATGTCTAAAACGGGTATGAAAACTGATCGGACATACTCTGAGGGAGCCTGTATTTATCATTTAGTATACACCAGACCCACGAATGGACCAACAGTAGAAGGCAATGGGTTGGTATTCATAGGGTGACAAGTGTGAGATAGTACTGAGGAGAGAGGTGAGCCTGCAGTGAACCCAGTGCAATGTTGATTTGCTTCTGAAGCTCCGTATTCCAGCAGGGACGTAAAAAACTAATGATAATTGTAAGATAGGAGTTGTCAATAATTTTCGAAATTTGTATTTATAGTTAAATTCGGGTGACGTGTTTTTAAAGGTATGATGAATTTCGTCAATTTAACTCCATTTGTCTGCAAATGTTTGCTTTCAAACATGGTGAGCGACTGTATATTTTGCACCTATTGTAGAAAAAAAAGTGGTATAAATTGATTTATACTTCTGAAGACTTAAGGAGTTATTTTCATATATCAACCATGAGCAAAACTGGAACAAAGAGTTTAAATAGGATAATACAAATCTGTTATATCTTGTCAAATATCCTCATCTGCAAACAGCCTGAAACATTCTCAATATCAATATACGATATTCTACATGAATAGTAGAATTTATGGGTATTTGAAATCATTTAGGATATGTAAATATCAGTCAGAAGACGCGAATGCTCTTCATGTCCAAGATAAGAGGTTAGTCCATTCCAGCAGTGCGAGAATGCTTGAAGATGACGTAGCTCATGTTTAAGTCGAAGTCAGAAATTACTGAACATTCATTCGTAATGCGAAATCCAGAAGAAATTTGAACTAATACGCAAAAAACTAAGACTTTTAAATATAATCTCAGTTATTATAATAGTCTAATATTAACCTAGAGCTCTATATTTTTCTGGTGAATTTATGTGGACAATATAAAGACAACATCTAAAATGAAAACATCAATCAATGCTCCACTGAATAGAAGCGTCTACGATTTCGCAAAGACTACAATCATTTTCATCAATGTGTTGAGACGGAAGTCATTCATGAACAAAATTGAATCAAACAGTTAATATCTGATGTCAGCATGCAACTGCTAACACTAAAAATTTTAAAATAGTTGTCACAAATTATTCCATTTAACTGATATGGGCGGTGAATTACACCTTTGCCAGCAGCATGGATTTTCACTTTTCCATTTCCTGTGTTACAATTCTCAACGTGTTGGATAGTTCTCTGTACTACAGGTTGACCTCTCTGCATTTTCCCATTGAGTAGACACCGATAATCATTACATATCAATTCACATTCACTGACAGTATTGAACAGTGCTAAAATACCAAGCCCTTTGATGCAGAGTCTCACCGACTGAGTTTGTTAGCTTCGAAACATAAACACAATAAAGTGAAAGTAAGAAGACTCCACACATTTTAGACATAATGTTAATCAGATTGAAAAGAACAAGAAGTTCAGCAAAGATATCTTTTCGGCGATTTCGTTCTCAAAAGCTGTACAATAGCATTCATATATATATAAGCCTTTACAACTACCATGGTCCTAGTTCGGTATGTTCCCTTATGCTTCAGTTTTTGTTTTGTCCTCTGTGTGTGTAGTTTTCTCTCTTTGTTTTCATTCAATTGATCCCATTTTTTTCATTTATAAATTCAGTTATTTTAAGTTTGTTTCCATGCTCCTCCTGATCACACTTGTAATAACCACTTTTCAATTATATTATAATC